GAACTGGCAGGCACATGCAGGACTTGGAAATCACAGAGGAAGGCAGGGTCTGGTGTGGGAGGAGGTGATGTCAGACAGTGTAACAGAGAGGTTAGGGTCCAAGCCCCAGCTCACCCCTCACAAGCCACGTGGTGGGGCTGGTTACACAGTTTTCCTAAACACCAGTCACCTCACTCGTCCGGTGGGTGATACTATTTGGCTCACATTTTTGTATCCAAGGATTTACAGGAAATCACATTATCCTCTTCTCTTTCCACCACCTTCTCCTTCCCCTTCATTGTGCTCTAATTTGGGGGTCCCCAGGCTCACCCCTGGGCCTCTTGGCGTTTCTGTTTAACTCTCTCCCTTGGTTACCGTGCTCTCAGCCGTGTCTCCCCCAACATTCCCACCTCATCTGTGCACCTCCCACAGCCACCCTGCTGAGCTGCTTTAACTCAGAAGCAACCACGCAGCCAAGTTTGCTGTTTCTTCCCTACATTCAAAAGAGGCCCCTCGTCTCACACGCCCCAAAACTCTGAGTCATCCTTATGCTCTTTTCCTGTTCCTCATCTAATCAGTCACCACATTCTGCAGGTCCCTCCACCCAGCTTTCTCTAGGAGCCGCCTGGAAACGCTAATGGCTTTCATAGTGGTGTCTGGCCAGGCTGCTTCCTTCATACAGATTTATTCACTTTAAAACTAAAACCAAAGGCACTTCAGGGCCTCTCCCTGTGCAGCGTCTTGCACACAACTCCACAAATAAGCTGTTACTTCCTGCTGAAATCTCCATCAGCCCCCATGCACTAACACTGCCTGGTGTGGCGGCTTCTCTGTCAGCCTCTTCTGCCACTGCTCACGTGAAACCCCCATGCTCAGCCTCACGTAATCCCTTCCCTTTCTTGAAATCAACTGACATTTTCCTGACCCCAAACCTTTGCCATCCCATTCTTATTTCTCTTCCTATTTGCCCTATTGCATTGATATATCTGTCATTATGTAGCCAAGCCACTAGACCACAGATTAGCCTCTTCACCCTCATCGGCCAGGGTTCTCTCTCTCTTTTCTGAACACCCCCACCCACATTACATTGGTTGAGGCATTGCCATAACATTTATCCCATTTATTCCACCTCCCTGGTAGAATTTATTAAAGTAAATTCCCTGACCCAATTTCTACATGGAGTAGGGGGGTAGGGGCTTGAAGGTGGTGTCACATCAACACCAATAAATAATTCTCAGCACTCTGACACTATCTACCCGAGATAGCATGGTGTCACACAGGTTAAGAGTTTAGTCCTATAAGACCCTCCCCCCAACACACACACACACACACACACACACACACACACACACTACTAACAATTATTTCACACCAGCAGGGTGTCCAAGAAGTCATGTCCATTCTGACACTGTCTACCTAGAGACAAAGATGGCATCGAAACCCACTGGTTCAGGATTCAGTCCTACAAGACTGGCCTTCCCTCCAAACACACACACCTCAGATGACAGCAGCAAGCTCGGGCTTCTGTGCTTCTGGCCACTGGCCACAGATTGGAGGTTCCAGCAAACCCCCTGCTGAGAATGCCACAGGCAGGTGTTACCTGTGCTTCTAATCAACTGGCCGAAGTCAGAGGTTCCCACAACTCCATCTGTGGGTGCCATCGGGTCACAGAACTCAGAGAAGCCTGTTAGTTATTATATCACTGGTTGATTGTAAGAGGCTATAACTCAGCAGCAGGCAGGAGGCGGAGATTCATGAAGTAGGGGGCAGAGGGGCAGAGGGTTAAGCTCCCATGCCCTCTCCCATGCACCACTCTCCTGGCACCAACACGTATTCACCAACCCTGAACTTCCCGGACCCAGTCTTCTTGAGTTTTTATGTTGGATTCATTGCAGTTCTGACTGATTAACTAATTGCCATTGGCAATTAACCTCTAACCTCTCTTTCCTGGAGGTCCAGGTGGGACTTAAAATTCTAACCCTCTATTGACATGGTTGGTTCCATTGCTAACCAGCCCCTATTCCTTTGTGAAGTCCAAAAGTAATCTCATTTAACATAATTTAAAAACAAAAAACAAAACAAAACAAAAAAACCTTTTCAGGCCTACCGGGCAAGGCTCAGAGGTTGAGTGTGGAACTATGAACCAGGAGGTCACGGTTTGGTTTCTGGGAGGGCACATGCCTGGGTGGGAAGCTCAGTCCCCAGTGGGGGGTATGCAGGAAGCAGCTGATCCATGATCCTCTCTCATCATTGATGTTTCCATCTCTCTTTCCCTTTCTGAAATAAATAAAAATATATTTAAAGTATTTTTTTAAGAAAACAACTTTTTCCGTTTCAATGCTTAGAAAATTCCAAGCGTTCCTGAGAGCTGTGAGCCAGGAATTGTGGACAAAAACCAAATATACAAAAGAAATATATTTAGATCATCTGGATGACTCAATATACATTTCTTGAAAATCACAATTTCTTATATATCACAATTAGAGATTCCTGAATGCAAGTCCTGGCCCCTTCCTTACTATGCTCTTTAATACTAGATGATCTCCAATTTGTTAAAAGCCTTTGATGTGGTCCCTGTATGGTTCCCGAGAGAGGGTGAAAGCTGTGTTAACTCTTTTCTGCCAAAAGCATAAACCTATTTTCTATTAAATGTTTAACCTAAATTTATCATTTTGGAATTGGAAAGCTCTACAGAGACTATTTCAGTCCTAAAGTCTTTCTTAACCAATGTGGAAATGAAACCCTGAGAGATAGGTGACTGGGCTTAGAACACAAGCCAGCTTCTGGTAGATTAAGTCTGAAGACTCGGGTCTACGTACTGTTGACACCAGAGGGAGGTTGATTTGGGACGCAAGCTTGCTTCCCAAACCAACCTCCCAAAATACCTAATTCAGTGTCCTCAGGCGGAAGACACCTTTGCTGACTGCTTGCAGCAAAAAGAATGCAGTGTGGTGGAATAAAAGAGGTTCAGTATAGGTTTGGAATCAAACAAATTGGATTTAGATTCAGGCCTGGTCACTTAATAAGCCGCTCAGATTTTGGTTAATTAACTTCTTGGCTTGTTTCCTCATCGATGAAATGTGGGCAATTATTCCCAGTTCATGACGTTGCATTGATGAAAAGGTAAAATGTATTATGATATATGAAATGATTGAAACCACAATAATTTGAGGTCATTATTTAAAATAATCCTTAGTAAGTTACAAATTTGAATATTGAGTGTTTCTTAATAATGCATATATTTTCATCCTAGAAACTTTCTCTGAATTGAGTAAGTGAATACTTTTGCCCGCAGAATGTTGAAATTTTGGGGGTGGGCAGAAGTCACCCAGTTATTTCTCCTAAAGTTTTTTTTTTTTTTCTTAAATATATTTTATTGATTTTTTTATAGAGGGAAAGGGAGAGAAATAGAGTTAGAAACACCAATGAGAGAGAACATCGATCAGCTGCCTCCTCCTGCATACCCCCCACTGGGGATGTGACTGCAACCAAGGTACATGCCCTTGACTGGAAGCGAACCCGGGACCTTTCAGTCCATAGGCCAACGCTCTATGCACTGAGCCACACCGGTTAGGGCTCCTTTTTTTTTTTTTTTTTTTCCTCAATGTGTTATCAAGAAGCATGTGTTTTGGAAGTGAGAGCTGAGAGCACTCAGTGCTGCTGGGGGACAGAGATAATTTTTGGCCCTCTGCACTGAAGATAAGTCGTCTGGCAGCTCCATGACTGATCTTGGCTTCAGCTCCTTGTCATGATGCTGCCTTGCCTTTCACACCACCAGTTCTATGAGCTCAGGCAGAAACAAGGACATACTGGCCTGGCAGAGGGTGTGGCGGGCAAGGTCCTGGGACTCTGAGGGAGAATAAAGGAAGCCCTGGTGTCACTTCTAACGCACAGCTGGGCCCTGATAAAGGCGATGTTTTTATATCAAACTAGAGGCCCAGTGCATGAAATGAGTGCACGGTCCGGTCCCTAGTGGCTGCCAGATGCCAGTCGGGGTCTCCCTCCCCGCGGTTGGCCAGCCAGCCCCACCCCTTGGTCGAACTTCTGGTGGAGGGGGCAATGTTCACATTAGGCTTTTATTATATAGTTTATGAAAGTAAAAGTAAGGTGGTTTAATATAAAATGTGAGAGTCACACTAGATGATTTAGAAGCCGAACTTCTATACTCTGGCGTGTTTTAATGCTTATGGGTTTTTATGAATGAGAACAGGAGTTCCTTTCCTGGAATCCCTAAGGGATCAGTCCAGCACGGTGGCCCAGGGCTCGGCTCAGTGTAAGTAAGCAGGAGTCAGAGGAAACGCTCCTGATGGGAAGCGCCGTTTCCTCTTTATAAAGCTCCCACTGGTCACAGAGCACCATCCAGAGGCATCTCAGGAGGAATACCGTGACCAGAGGCAACAAGTAGCCCCACTGCTGGCCCAGGGACTGAGGCGTAATCCAAAACCTGGGGTTTCACTCACCAGGTAAGGTGTTTGGGGCGCAGACAAGAAAGCCAGGCCAGGACTCTGCTAACCAGACTGAGTGACTGAGGGAAACGCTGAGGCCCCTGCCGGTGCTGTGAGCGCGGCCTGGCTCTGGTGTCCTTCGGCGCCGGCGGGCCGGCCGGCTGAGGGCTGTGCGGTGGCCGGTGCCGGTGCCGTTAACCAACGTCCTCCGCAGGCGCACAGGGGATTACTCACCGGACCCTCTCACCAGTCCCGGTGCCGGCCATTCTCAGGGAACCAGCTGAGGTGTGGCTGGGATTTGGATTTTTTTTTAAAGGGCACTACTCTCCGCCCCAAGCCCGGAACCCACTGCGCTCAGCCTGAGGTCCCTTCTCAGGCTCCGGGGGCCTCTCCTCTGTCCCCCAGTGTTTGTTACCTGGAAGCAGATCTTTTACTTTTCCGAGCCGCCCCACCCAGCAAAGAAAAACTGTCCCTGCGCCTGGCCAGAGAGCGGGGCTCCCGGTCCAAGTCCGGGTCCCCAGGCGGGGAGGCGGCGCCCCGCCCGCGCCCCGCCCCGGCCCGCGCCCCGCCCGCCTCGGTGCCCCCGGGCTGCCCGCCGGCCCGGCCTCCGGTAACTGATTGCGGGACCAGGACACTCCGCTCCGGCGGGAGCCGATCCCCGGAGGCTGCGTGCGGCCGGCCCCGCGCCATGCGCCCCGCCCGGAGCGGCGCCCCCCGCTGGCTGCCCCCGGCGCTGCTGCTGCCGCTGCTGCTGTGCTGCCCGCTCGCCGCGCGGGGTGCGTGGGGCCGGGCCCCCTGGCCTGAGGGGGTGTGTTGGGGTAGGGTGTTTGGGGGACAGGGTCTGGGTCGGTCTCCGTGACCATCGGGGAAGGTGGGGTGTGGCATCGGTAAGTGTCCCCTTCAAGATCAGCTCCTGCCGGCCTCCCCGCGGCTCCCCGCCCCTGGGGTCTGTGCGCCCTCCCCGCACGGCTTGGGGTGAGGCGCTAGGACTCCGGGAGCGGAAGGCGGCGCTGGGCGGCCCCGGCATCTCCCTCGGAGCGGAGCCGGAGAGCCCGCCGCCCGCCGGGTCCGGGGCAGCGGGGCCGGTCCCCGCGGGGCCCCGGCCGGACCGTCCTCCCGCCCCGCGGGGGCACTGAGCGCCCCCAATACCGGGGTCACTGTCCGCCGACGCCGCAGAGCTCGCTGTCGGGGCTGGAGGCCGGCGGCACCGGCTGGAAATGTGGCACCGGGCGGCTGCTTCCCCCGCCGGGGAGGGGCGCCGATCTCCGTGGAAACACGGTCTGTGCCTCAGTTTCGCGTTTCCGTCGCCAGGTGACTGCGGGCTCCCCCCCGACATGCCGGGCGCCACGGCCCAGCTGGAGGGCCGCACGGCCTTCCCCGCCGGGGCCCGGGTGGGCTATTACTGCAACGAGGGCTTCGCGAAGATCATTGGGAAGGTCAACGTGGTGCACTGCCTTCCCGGAGGCGAGTGGACGAGGCTGGAGGTGTTTTGTCAACGTAAGTTCTTCCTTTCTTTTCAGGAAAGTGATGGGGCCCTGGCCAGGTTGGTGCTGCTCAATGGTTTGCACTTCCTCCCACGCACCCAGAGGTAGCTGGCTGCATTCCCAGTGGGGGCACATGCCAGAGTTGCAAGCTCCATCCAGTAGGGCACATGCAGGAAGCAGCTCATTCCATTGTCTCTCTGTCCCTCTCCCTTCTCTTCTCTCTAAAAATATTTTAAAAATCAATAAAAGCATATATATATATATATATATTTTTAAAGTTATGGGAATGGAATGGGTCCTGTTCAGTTAAAATATATCGCTCTCCCCAGTGACTGGCACTTGGTACTCTTCTGGCTTTGTTACAGCCAGGATGTCCGTGTTAGCGCCTCGCACTCTGTCCGGCCAGTTAACGGTGTTATTTCCAGGAACAGATCCTGTTCTTCCTTAGCAGCCCGCCGCTCCCCACGCGGTGTCTCCTGACCTGACTGACAGAAGTAACGATAGTTACTGCTGTTGTTTAGGGAGTAACTTAAATAGGAGCGTGTTGGGTAATTGCATTGCGACACATGGCATGGGTGCTGGGTCTGAAATCTGATTTCCTGAAGAAGGACTTACCAAGTTCAGCACTGGGGTGGCATTTTTAAAATGTCTTATCTGTACCTCAAAACCTATGTATGGCCCAATAGCAGTTTTGACATACACAAGAAGGTGTAAAGATAAGAGTTTACTCCTGCCTTTGGACAAGTTTGGAGCATTGGGAGCGACAGTATACAAAGAAACTGCCACCACAAGTTTTGGGGGTTTTTTTTTGTTTTTTGTTTTAACGGGTTTAACTTTTTTTAAAAACGTATCTGTGGTAGAAGGCAGTAGGTGGAAGTGCTAAGCCTTTGCACATGTATCCTGTCACAGAGTTTGTAACGCTGCCACCTCTATTACTTCCTTAATCCTCCAGACAAGCCATCATTTCACAGCTGAGGAAAAGGTCCTGAAAAGTTAACTCCCTTGAGATCCAAAGCTCTTATGCAGAAGATCCCAGGCTCAAACTTGCGTGTTTAGACAATAAAGCCAATGGTCCCGTGCCTCTATCAGTTCCTGTTTGCCCAGGTGGCTCAAGTCTGTGAATGCTGGAGTGTACACATCTGCTCCTCTGAGCTGCTGAGGGGTTGAATGAGTTTACTTGCAGAAAACGTTTAGAAGCACCCATAAACATGAGCTATTGTTGTTACTGTAGCTGTCAATGTCCCCGATGTTAGCCCAGGGGGGTGGGAACATTCGCCAACCCCAGTGCTCCATGGGGCAGGCCGGGCAAGGGAGCCTACGTGCAGTGAGCTGCGCCATGCAACGTCAGCGGGTTATATTCTTCCAGTGTGCCTGGTGACACCATGTGCCCAATCCACTTCACAGGCCTCTGGTCACTAGGAAACAAAAGCATACATTTCAATATGCTTGATACCCTACAGATGCCCTATTGATACTCATACAGCTAAGTGCCAAATGTGTACAAAGGAGGGGATGTGAAGACAGGTGGTTCTGATAATTAAACATAGATTATGAAATAAAGTGATATTACTCTTTGTTGTTGTTGGTTTGGTAATGCTTTTAGGTAGCTGTGGGATTACACCCAGTGTACTTTATGGACATAAGAAAGATATTTACATCCCAGTGAGTTCTCACCCAGCGGGTTTTGTTGTGGAATATGAGTGTAATCCGGGCTACGCCAGGAACCATTCCGTATCAGCGAACATAACTTGCCTTCAGAATTATACGTGGAGCAAACCAGAAATATTTTGCTACAGTGAGTATAATTTTAAAGAATTTTCTTAAACATATGGTATTTAGGGAAATAGTATTTAATCCTTTATTCATGCTGGAAGTCTGTGTGTACATATTATTATTTGGAATGATTTTTTTTTTTTTTTTAAAGAATGATTAGAGTCATCTATGTATATAAAAGGCTAATATGCAAAGTGTCCCCTCGGGAGTTTGACCGGAAGTTCGCTCGCTTGCTATAACATGTGCTGACCACCAGGGGGTGGCACAGAATGAAGGAAGGCCCCAACCAGCCTAAGGCCCTGATCGCCAGCCTGGCCTAGGGACCCTAGCCATGCACTACCTTCGTGCACCTAGCCTCTAGTTTTATTATAATTAGGCACACTAAATACTTGAGAGAGATAGGAATAGTAATTGATGCACAGACTTCACATTTAATTAGTTTAAGATTACCTTACATGAAATAAAAGAAGTATATATTCCTAAATAGGCTGCTTCTTTGGAACTTATAAAATGAGTGTAGGATTTAATCAGTCTCAGGATAAGAGATTACCAGTGCTTCAGATGATGAATTTGCATAGATGTGCCTAATAACTTATTAAAATAATTTTCTACTGTCTTCTAGAAAGATCATGTCCTGATCCTGGAAAAATAGAAAATGGTCATATCAGAATACCAACTGACATATTATTCACCTCATACATCTACTTCTCATGTGACCCAGGGTAAGTTTTGCATACTAACCACTCTCTGTTAAACAAGCGAAAACACAAGTTAGAATTTAAGATGGAGATTTTAGAAATGTGTTCACAAGCCAGTAGCAATAAAGCAGTCCCTCTGTTCAAAGCTTTTCCTCATGAGCTTATCAAAGTGAAACACAGTAAAATGGGCTAAGAAAGGAGGATGTTTCATACCACCAAATCCTCGGAATTCTTAGGTGTGAGTACATATGGTTCAATATAAAAATGTTAATGTCATTAGTAAAGGAAATTACTTGCAGAAATTAAATTCAAGAGTTAAATGAAACCAGTCTTTAATTTACCTAAATAATAAATTTTTGTAAGTTTTTTAGCATGTATTTATTTATTTTTATTTATTAATTAAGGCATTATTATGTGTCCTTATCCCCCCCACTATCCCTCCAGCTCCCCAACTCATGCCCTCACTCCCCTGGTGGCCGTGTCCATTGGTCAGGTTATATGCATGCATGCAAGGCCTTTGGTTGATCTCTCCCTCTTACCCCCACCCTCCCCTATCTTCCCTCTGAGGTCTGATTAATGCTTCTCTGTCTCTGGATCTGTTTTTGTTCATCAGTTTAGGTTGTTCATTATATTCCACAAATGAGTGAGATCATGGTAATATGTACTTTATATGCAAACAATCTGTAATAAAATTTCTTAGGTTAAAAACATGTAATCCTAGAGTTACAAGATCTCTGACCCAAGGTCTTTTATAAGTTCTCTATGTAGAGAAAAGGGCCTCACTCATTGAGTATTGTCAGTGTCTCAGATCCTGCTGAAAACTTCATATTCATTTTCTCATTTAATATCTGCAAATTTTCTCATTTAATATCTGTAGATTTTACTCTGCGTGTATGTCCATTTTTTATAAAATAATATCAGTATTACTTATCTCCTGTACTAAACACCGATATTTAGATCATTAATATAAAATCTGGGAGTACTTTGAACCCTTTAAGTGTAAGTGTATTCTATTATTCTATGAAGCCTGTATTGATCTTTGAGAACTTAGAAATAGAAAATATTCAAGCATCAATATAATTTTAAAATCTTTTAAAACACTTTGATATTTTCTAAAATGTGACCCACCCAAATAAGAAATGTTTTGCATGTCTTATAATAGTTTATCCTTTGGATGTCACTTTTTTTTAATTTAATTTTTTCTTTTTTAAAAAACTACCATACAAACTTTTATCAACTATTGTTTTATCTCCATCTACTAATCTATTGAATATTTTAAGATGATATTCTGGAGAATTTAAGAGAACCCAACTTTTCTTGTCCTCTCATTGTTTAGGTACAAATTAGTTGGTAAAAGTTCTACTTCCTGTTATTATGAAGGAAATGATATGATTTGGGATGATCCATTTCCAAAGTGCCAAGGTAAGACTAAAAGAATCTAAGCACTCATATTGTGGGGCTAAATTTTCAATGACAAATTACTTTCTGTGCATTAAGAATTATTCACAGTGTATATTTGTAGTACCCTTACCTTCTGTGTCTGAGCTAATTTAAAGACCTTTATTTGTAACTAGTGAACTGGTTCGTGAAATTCGTGCACATTCCAAGGGGATTAATTAGAGAAAATAATTTAATATTGCTATTTGACCTTTCTCTATAATAGAAGTGTCAGAGATGAAAGAAAATCTTTCTCCTGTCAGAGTCGGGGGCTCACCATGGGACCCAGAGTCCAGTCCCTGTCCACCCACATGCACCTCAAAATCACGTGAGACCCAGACCCAGCCACCCGCCATTGGACTAGATCCAGACCCCACTGGTCCCACCCTTGTCAAGCCCTGTCAGGAAGGGGGTGTACTCTGAGATCCCCTGGCCCAGCAACAGGATGGGGGGCATGGCCTGAGGTCCCCCAGCCCAGACCCGGGCGGGAGTGTGCCTTGAGGTCCTCCATCAAGCCCCGCCAAGTGGGGACACGGCCCGAGATCTCCTGTAAGCCCTGCTGGGTGGGGGGTATGGCCTGAGGACCCCCATCAGCCTCACCAGGCAGGGGGCGTGCAGCCTCAGGTTCCCTGGCCCAGCACCAGAAGGGGGATGAAGCCTCAGGTCCCCTGTCAAAACCCCGCTAGGTGCGGGCACGGCCTGAGTTCTTCTAACCCAGCACTCGGGGTGCACTTTGAGGTCCCTCATCAAGCCCTGCTGGGTGGAGGGTGTGGCCTGAGGTACCCCGGCCTGGTGCTGGGGCAGCAGCCTGAGGTCCCTTAGCCCAGCACCAGGACAAGAAGCTCACCTTGAGGTCCCCCGTCAAGCCCTGCCAGGGGCCATGGACTCAGGTCCCCTGACCTGGCTCTGGGGCAGGGGGTGCAGTCTGAGGTCCCGCAGCCTGACACCAGAGTGGGTGCATGTCCTGAATCCCCTGTGAAGCCCCACAGGGGTGAGGGAGGATGTAGCCTCAGGTTCCTGCTGGTTGCTCATTAAGGCTCCTTTTGGGAACTTGGCCTCAGCTGTGGGTGCAGCCATCTTTGTGATGGAGTGATGGTCAATTAGCATATTCCCTCTTTATTAGATAGGATTCTCCTTAATTTATTACCTTTGGAGATAAAGCATTAAAAACAAACTAAAATTTGTGTTGTGGTTGGTCATTTATTATCTTGCCATTCCTCCCACCAGTCAGACAAAATAGGGTGGGGGAGGAGCCCTCAATGGACTAGTCCTGTCAGCCATGAAAATTGCCATGTAGTGGAGATAGGCACCCCCAGAGGAGGGCCAAGCATCGCCCTTTAAATTGTGGGAGCTAGGGAAAGAGCTCCATGTGCCTGAGTTCAAAGGTTATACTGATTGCAATGGTGTCCAACCTTCATTCTTGTATTTTATTACCGTTTCATCTACACTCTACCCAGAGTTATCCATCTGAAACACCAACATGACTTGTCTTTCCTTCAGATAGATTGTTGGGGCTGGCCAGCAGACCCTGAGTGATGAATGAATGATTACTCTGACCCAGGATGGCTGTGAAAGAGAGGGCTCAGGGACTGCCTGGCCGAAGGAACCAGACAGCCCCGATCACCTGCCTTGTTAAGCTTTTATTGTGACAGTAGTTTGAGATAAAGTTTATCTTTTAGATACAAATAGTAGAGTAAGTAATCCTGGGAGAACACACGTGTTTGCAGTGTCCTTTAAGCAAGGACACCCAAAGATTAAGCATAAAGATTCCTGTAAACACCAGGGTCTGCAGGAGCACAGACTTGTTTGGAACGGTCAAGGAATAATTAGGGGTGCCATAAATGGCCGCCTCCAGCACACTTCCCTTTTCTCGAATGTCCTCCTTACAAACTTTCCAACCAGGTCCCACGTGCTCCTCAGCATAGCTTACTAGTGTCTCCTCATCACTTTCAAAGTCCAAACGTCTTGGTATAATGTACAGGCTGGCCACCGTCTACCTACTTCTCCTCCCTCAGGTCGGGCCTCGCACTTCATGCTCTACCCACGCAGACCACAGTGGTTTCCTGTGTACCTCATGCTCTTCATGTCCCCACATCATTCCTTAAACTGCTCACTCTGCTGATATGTCCCTTCTTTGCTTGATTGATTGGGTGTGTTTTTTCCTTCTTAGTGTGGGTCTGCTCCGATTGTCCTCCTAGAAGCTTTGTGTGACCTTCCAAGCTGGTTCACTGTCCTCTCTTTCCACACCACTGTGCATACGTGTCTGTTAACCCTCACCATTTTGTACTGAAATTATATCTTTATAGCTCTTTCCCTACTATATTTGAAGACATAGGAATGATATCTTACTCTGTTTTGTACTTCTATATGCACAACAATGCTTGGTGTGCATTAGGTGCTCAGAAAATGTGTGAACTGAACTGATGTGACACGGTGGTAATCACATACCTTAGCCTAGTGTAAATCAGATTACTCCTGATTTGCTCCTTGCTTTGATTAATGGCCTAAAAGGAATTTATGACGTTGTTAGTATTCTCTGGGTTCATAAGTACATTTGGTGTAATATAATTTGATGTCCACATGGGTTCACATTACTTTCCTGCTTAAATAAAAGAGAGGAACAACATCATGGCTTTATAGAATGTGGAATCGCTGAAACTTTTGTTGGGGCATCTAGGGGCAGGCCTCTGTTTATAATATAATAGAGTAATTCTGCCTATATATGTTTTACAAACTCAGCTGCTCGATAAGACTTGCTTTAAATAAAAGGCTGTGAGTCAGTACATACCTCAAGATTTGTATCCTAATGTCAAAGTCAAAGTGGGACTTTTAAGATCTTTTGGTCTATTTTGATGATCCATTCCTATTTCCCAAGTATGCTATTTGAATGCACAGTGTCTCTCATTTGATAACATTTCTCCAGGGAATGACAGCAATGCCTTTTTCTCAATTCTGTCTTAGAATAAGGGTACACCTTAGGTTTAAACTCAAGTTCCATTTACTCCCTGAAGTCTCTGTCCTGTTTTTTGGCCCCTGAACACCTTTACTTTTTCCAGACCCTGTTTGATAGATAACGCACGCAAAGTTAACTGTAGTTTTTGTTTTACACGTGTGTTCTAAACCTTATTGCAGTCCTGTGCTGCTAAAGGCATTCCAGTCAATGGTGGGCTGCACTTACGATGATGGTTTCATAGGGTTATAATGGGGCCTAGGTGTGCAGTCCCGTCTAGTTTGTGTAAGTGCACTCTATGATGTTCCACCATGAACAAACTGCTTAACAAGGCCTTTCTCAGATCAAACCTCCATTGTTAATCTACACAGGACTATCTCTATAATTTGGTCTTAAAGTTAGCATTCATGTTTTACAGCATTTGTATCCAAAACTCTAAATATACTACCTATTACTTACTAGGTATGTATAAACATTCCTCAGTGATAATGCTAAATTTAGAAAAATGGTAGATTTAAATCTTTTTTAATAAAATATTTTGATCTTACGTTAAGATCATAAAAATACAGCTAAGTTTTATTAATTTAAATATATGGAAATTTTTCCAAATAATTTCTTGTCCAGAGCCACCAGAAATTAACAATGGAATAATTCAAAGGCAACAGAGCTCATGAATATAGACTTTCCATAACAGATAAGGTGCTACAAAGACTTCTTCCTAATTGGAGACAACTCTACCTATTGTATTGCAAAGTAAATGTGGCCAAGGAAAATGGAGTGGCCTGAATGCAAAGCTGATCAGTATACACAGCCATATTCTTACTGTCAGGCCCACATCTGGGCTTCAGAGATTCTATTCACTCCCTGAGAAAGAATTGTACATAAGCATATTTGCATTTTTCTGGGGAGCACAATTTTTCATCAGATTTTCAGAGAGTTCTAAAAAGAAAGTTTTATATACTTACATGCATGAAAGTATATACACATATACATTTATATGCAGACATATATGCCCCATATTTTTAGTGAATTAGCTTAAATTTGCTATCTCTATTTTTTTTTTAATTTAAAATTTTTTAAATCATTTCCATCCCCTTTCTTTTGGCAACCATCGTTTTGTTCTCTATATCGATTGGTTTGTTTCTGTTTTGTTTTCTCATTTATTTTGTTCTGTTTTTTGTTTGTTTGTTTTGTTTTGTTTTGTTTTAAATATATTTTATTGATTTTTTACAGAAAGGAAGAAAGAGGGATAGAGAGTTAGAAACGTCGATGAGAGAGAAACATCGACCAACTGCCTCTTGCACACCCCCCACTGGGGATGTGCCTGCAACCAAGGTACATGCACTTGACCGGAATCGAACCTGGGACCTTTCAGTCTGCAGGCCGACGCTCTATCCACTGAGCCAAACTGGTCCCGGCTTATTTTGTTTTGTTTTGTTTTTCAGATTCCACATATAAGTGAAATCATATGGCATTTGTCTTTCTCTGTCTGACTTACTTTACTTAGCATAATGCCTTCTAGGTCCATCCATGCTGTTGCAAATGGAAAGATTTTTTTTTTTTCAGTATTGATCTTATTTTATTTTTTAAAATAAATCCTTATTGTTCATATTATTACAGATGTTCCTCTTTTTCCTCCCATAGCTCCCCTCCACCCGATTCCTTCCCACCTAACCCTATACCCTTTCCCGCCGGACTGTCCTCAACCATAGATGTAAGATTTTTGTCCAATCTCTTCCCACACCTCTCACACCGCCTTCCCCCTGAGAATTGTCAGTCCACTCCCTTTCTATGCCCCTGATTCTATTATATTCACCAGTTTATTCTGTTCATCAGATTTTTTATTTCACTTTATTTTTATTTTTTTATTTTTTAAATAAATTTTTATTGTTCATATTATTACAAATGTTCCCTTCCCCCCCCTCCATTGCTCTCCTCCACCAGGTTCCCACCCCACCCTCTGCCCTTTCCCCCCCCCACATTGTCCTCATCCATAGGTGCACAGTTTATGTTCAGTCTCTTCCCACACCCTTCA